GCAAGTTGGAGCTAAACCCTGCAGGAACACCGGCCCTCCAGGACCAGGATTGGTGACCCCTGCCCTAAACTGTAACACTGTAGAGTATTTCAGTTTTTACGACAGTAAATTGTGTATATTGTAGTATAACATACCCTACAGCAAGGGTCACCAATCTCGTTCCTGGAGGTGCGGTGCCCTGCAGGGTTTAGCTTCAACTTGCCTCAACACACCTGCCTTGGTGTTTCAAGTATACCTAGTACAGGGGTGGCCAACCCTGTTCCTGGAGAGCCACCTTCCTGCAGATTTCAGTGGCCACCCCTGACCTAGTAAGACCTTGATTAGCTTGTTTGATTCGGGTTGGAGCTAAAATCTGCAGGACACCGACCCTCCAGGAACAAGTTTGGTGATCCCCGCCCTACAGTATTAAACAGATACATGCAAGTGTTCTACTATAGGGTGGTTTATGTACGATAAATTGTGCTTTATGTAATGAAAAAATAATAGTTAGTTGGAAATATATCATTCATCATTCATTTTCTGCCACTTATCCGGGGCCAGGTCGCGGGGGCAGCAGTCTTAGCTGAGAACCCCAGACTTCCCTCTCCCCAGACACTTCCTCCAGCAGATCCCAAGGTGTTCTTAGGCCAGTCAAGAGACATAGTCCTTTAGGGTGTCCTGGGTTGTTCCTGAGGTCTACTCCAAGTGGGACATGCCTGGAACACCTCCCTAGGTAGGCATCCAGGAGGCATCTGCAACAGATGCCCGAGCCACCTCAGCTGACTTCCCTCGATGTGGAGGAGCAGCAGCTCTACTCCGAGCTCCTCACCCTATCTATAAAAGAGGTCACACACCAGAAGCGCTGCTCTGCGACACGCCACGCAACACCATGCAATTCAGAATTCTAGGGAGAAGTAGGAACATAGATTGACCGGTAAATCGAGAGCTTTGCCTTTCGGCTCAGTTCCTTTATTACCACAACGGACCGGTACATTGACCGCATTACTGCTGCCACTGCACCAATCCGCCTGTCAATCTCATGTTCCACCCTTGAACAAAACCCCAAGGTACTTGAACTTCTCCACCTGGGGTAAGGACTTCCTTCAACCTGGAGATGGCAAACCACTTTTTTCCGGTGGAGCACCATGGCCTCATCCCAGCCGCATCACACTCGGCAGCAAACCGCCCCAGAGCATGCTGAAGGTCCATGTCCGATGAAGCCAACAGAACAACATCGTCTGCTAATAACAGATGAAATCCTGTGGTCCCCGAACCGGATCCCCTCCAGCCCAAGGCTACACATAGAAAATCTGCCCATAAAAATGATGAACAGAATCACTGACAAAAGGCAGCCCCGCCGGAGTCCAACATGCACTGAAGAACAAGTCTGACTTATTGCTGGTAATGTGAACCAGACTCCTACTCTGTTCATACAGAGACGAGACGGCCCTTAACAGAGTGCTTCATACTCCCAGAGCACCGTCGCACAGGATGCCAAGAGGGACTCGGTTCGAATGCCTTCTCCAAGTCCACAAAACACATGAAAATACATCAACATACTCAATTATTCTGAGTTCTTTCTTTGGCTCTTGGCGAAGGCGGTCGCACTTCTTTCCACTTCGTCCTATATCTCTGCTTGCTGGCTCCTCTTGTCTTCGTGTTCTGTCTCTGAGGCTCTCTGTGCCCTGCTATCCAAATGAACACGGAATTATGGATTTGATCAACTGGTCTCTGAATGCAATTGACACCATCTTCTCGACAGGAAGTTTGGGCTCGGGAGAGCCCACTTGTCCTGCGGGGACGTTTGCAGCTGGATACGTGATGGACGGGTGGGAGAAATGGCGCGTCGTGTGCCTGGCTTGCTAATACTCAATATTAGATCGCAAATTGGAAAACATCAGGGTGAAACTAGCGGCTTTGCAACAACATTTGGCCAGATCTGGAGACGGACATTAAATATCTGTGAAATTGGCAGATATTGACCTAAAGTTGAAGTACTTTTTCTACTCTTTCGGCTCCCCTGTTTTTTTTCTTCCTGACAGACGGCCTCGGCTGGAGAAAAACAACTTCTCCTGGATAGCAAGATAAGGAAATGCATCTTACTTCCTTTTTCTAAATGCTACTTCCTGTGACCTGAAATTTGCTGTATTTTTGTAGTTTATGTTAACTAGTTTATTCATCCATTTTCTTTTCAGCTTAGTCCCTTTATTAATCAGGGGTCGCCACAGCAGAATGAACCGCAAGCTCATCCAGCAAGTTTTTAAGCAGCGGATGCCCTTCTAGCCGCAACCCATCTCTGGGAAAGTTAAGCAATTTAGTTAACAAATAAAAAAAACTAATTAAAACATTTTGTAAAACATGAAATAAAGACTAAATTTTTCAATCTGAAATACCAAAAACCCCACAAAGGACACCGGGCATAATACAAATCAGGTGTTTATTAAATAAAAAAAGAAGGATACAAGTAACACTTCCACTGTCCATAACCACATCTATTGATTGACAACTCAATATATGAAAAAGCGGTACTACAAAACATGTCAAATAAAAAAATAATA